ATGGTTGTTTTATAGATATCAAAGTACCGATACGACCATAACTGCCCTTGTATGGTTGTTTTATAGATATCAAAGTACCGATACGACCATAACTGCCCTTGTATGGTTGTTTTATAGATATCAAAGTAGCGATACGACCCTAACTGGATAAACTGAGAATAATGTAAAAGTCTGCATGCATTATATTTATATTTTCATTACGGTTTTGTTTACAGATAGCAGAATGGTCAGACTCACGAGGTCTGGAGCTATTTTCACCTGTCTACCGAAGAGTTAAGCAGGATATGGGCTTTGAAAATAAGACTTACATAGTAACTAGCATCTTGGTAAGTTTAAGTTTATCCGAGTTTTTTAACTTACATGTGCTTAGAACACATTATTGCAACCATGACGACTAATACATTTTAAATCATTACCAGCTACTGTCCTCTTGAATATCACACTAATTTACTGTAAGGCTAATATATTTACTTGTACATATAGTAGGAGTTAGTACGGTCTTCAAGAACTCCGTTTTAGGTATTCAATATTTAGTACAACAATCTTAAACGGTATCATGCAGTTCCTACTGTTTTATTGTATTGTTAAAGAATATCACATTGTTTTCTAATTTTGTTTATAACTTTATGAATAGTATCACGTTTCTTCATCGTGTGTTATTAAAACATCTAAAACTGTCACGTATATTCAACGTGTGTTATTAAAGCATCTAAAACTATCACGTATATTCAACGTGTGTTATTAATGCATCACATATATTCAACATCTGTTATTAAATCTTGAAATTTACACGAAATTACATTTTCTAATTTAGTGATACATTACGGTAAATAAGTAGCCCTGTTTAAGGAAACTAGAATATTCTTTTTTACATGTAATTACATTTTCTAATTTAGTGATACATTACGGTAAATAAGTAGCCCTGTTTAAGGAAAGTAGAATATTCTTTTTTACACGTAATTACATTTTGTAATTTAGTGATACATTAGGGTAAATAAGTAGCCCTGTTTAAGGAAACTAGAATATTCTTTTTTACACGTAATTACATTTTCTAATTTAGTGATACATTACGGTAAATAAGTAGCCCTGTTTAAGGAAACTAGAATATTCTTTTTTACACGTAATTACATTTTGTAATTTAGTAGAGTAAAATACTTTAAAACTTGAAACAACGTCAGCCAGGATTTACAATCACCAGGGTTAGATGAAGGTAAAACTATAAATGAGACTTTTTTGCCCGAGATAAAGCTATGGAAGACAATGTTATAAGAAACTAAAAATATGATAGAGTAAGTTAATCCAAGTGAAATACTATGAAAACGTATATTAGACCGGGGTAAAGCCATCAAGCATAATGTTAGATCAAGGTAAAGATATGAAGAAAAATTTCAGTTAAGGTAAAGCTAATAATGAAATTACACTTCGGTTATTAAACAGTTTACAAATTATACAACAACTCTCTGCAGGAAGAACCTTATCTCATGTTCAAGAAAGCTGAACCTAGTGAATATCTGGAAGGTAATGACAAGTTTGAAGGATTTTCAAAAGATCTCTCAGAACTGATAGCAAAACATCTCAACTTTGATTATATTTTGAAACTGGTGAATGATTCGAATTACGGAGGTCAAGATCCAAATTCTCCTGCTGGATGGAATGGGATGGTTGGAGAACTCATTCGTAAGGTAAGTAATGATACAAGCCATCTTTCTTTACTACGGAGGTGTGTGAGCAAGATGAATTTGTTTCAATAGTAGACCACTCATGTACCCTTTTCGATACACGCAGAAATAAAAAAAATATTGCTGTAAGCTATATTTTAATGTTGTAAATTCTTTGTTAACTAAAAGGCGCAGAACGCCTAGCAAATTGACGTCAAGTTTTCCTCGCAAATTCGAAGCTAGATCATAAATAGTTGAGAAAATTGTAGTTATTTTAAGATAGAGTTGAATCAGTCGATGCGTTTTCGGAAAGTATTTGGATTTGTGTTTGGTATCGCGTTTATCGAGTTAATTTGTACAAGTAAGATGATTTTTTAAAGTCATTGATAACATTGGCCTACAACAATTTGCGACAGTGTACAAGTATTCAATCTTGTAGACACGTTAAAGGAGAGAATAAACTAATTCATTCACGTGGAGTGGACTTTGAATTATTTTCACTGTATAATTTATAAGAACAATGTTACAACAATATATGTTGTAGTACACAATCTCTTGTGTATAGGCTTAGAAAGTAGACATGGCAATGGTGAAGATAGAATAAAATACATAAAAATTCATTTAGAATTTAAATCACTGTGTAACATATGCTCGTCTACGAGATAGTATGAATACCGAAATAAACACTAGACTGTATCAGATCACAATTATCTTGTAAGTAACACGGTTACTTGTACGTTAACTTGTAATTAAATATGTAGCACACGCTTACTTGTAGGTTAACTGGTAAAGACAAGTAACCATAATTCAAGAAAGACGATCACAACTTCATCGAGTGGTAAAGAAAAATAACTATCAAGTTTACCACATCATAATAGGTTATTGAAGAACGATAATCATCAGTTACAGAAGTTTACCACATCATAATAGGTCATTGAAGAACGATAATCATCAGTTACAGAAGTTTACCACATCATAATAGATTATTGAAGAACGATAATCATCAGTTACAGAAGTCTACCACATCATAATAGGTCATTGAAGAACGATAATCATCAGTTACAGAAGTTTACCACATCATAATAGGTTATTGAAGAACGATAATTATCAGTTACAGAAGTTTACCACATCATAATAGATTATTGAAGAACGATAATCATCAGTTACAGAAGTCTACCACATCATAATAGGTCATTGAAGAACGATAATCATCAGTTACAGAAGTCTAATCGACCTGGAAATAAAAGTAACCATCAACTATGAAATATTAATACAGTTTCATTGAATGGTAAATAAAGTTAACTATCAGTTATAAAAGTTTAGTACGTCTCCATTGAATGATAAAGAAAATTAACTATCAGTTATGAAAGTTTAGTACGTCTCCATTGAATGATAAAGGAAGTTAACTATCAGTTATGAAAGTTTAGTACGTCTCCATTGAATGATAAAGAAAGTTAACTATCAGTTATGAAAGTTTAGTACGTCTCCATTGAATGGTAAAGAAAGTTAACTATCAGTTATGAAAGTTTAGAACGTCTCCATTGAATGATAAAGAAAGTTAACTATCAGTTATGAAAGTTGAGTACGTCTCCATTGAATGGTAAAGAAAGTTAATCGTCAGATACAGTATTTGATGTTTCATTATTTTACTATTTGTGTGTGTGTGTGTTGTTAGAGCACTGTATTGTTTGTACGTTAGATGTTCCATTATTGTTTTGTTTTATAGTTTACAGTTTAGTAGAGCATCATGTTAAAGCATCGCTTAGGTGCGCGCAAGTGTGTTTATATATATATATATATTTAACTATAACAAAAGAAATAGCATCACAACTATTATCATATTAATTACATTAGTTGTTAATAGGCGATTAAAATCATCACTATAAACAATAGTAACTTTAATATAAATTAAGCCTTAAATTATTTTGTACAGTCTATTGTAATTTCCAGTCGTAACCTTAAAGTCATAACGGAAATTGTCTGTGGTGATAGCACTCAAAAGCGTTGAAGATTTCCTGTCTAATCATGGAAAAATCAATTAAGGGTGTGGATTTGAGTACTTATTCCCACAACGTCTCAACTCCTACTGCCTTTCACTGTCTGCAGCCAGTTGTGGGAAGGCAGTTACTCTTAAAAGTTATACTAATGTCAAAAGTATAAATAAAATAAAACTACCCTAAAAATATTTCTATCAAAAGTTTCCACCAACCTCTGCCCTTAAAAGTTCTAATAGTTCCTAAAGTAGAAAAAATAATAAATCCACCTTAATAGTTATACTATAAGTTACTCCCATCCTACATAAGATGACATAATAATGTTTTATATAAAATGTAAAAGATCTTATTTCAAATGATCTCGAAACGAACTACATGGCCTACTTCAATATTTCTATGTAGTTCATATTCCTCCCTTTCTATTGTAAAATTATTCAAGTTTAACACGGGATAGTTGAGACAAGCCCAGCTACTTGAAGTTAGTCTTTCCAGTCCTGGTCATACTGAATAAATTGTAATTTTAGCTATTTAAAGGTAGTTAACTACTTCTAGTGACAAAAAAGGTATTTTCCTTATTGAAAATTTATGTTTTTAAATATTTTCTTATTTCTTATTATTATCATAAATAAAACAGTGTAAAAAATTTCTCAATTTCCAGTGTTTATAACCATTATTTTCCAGTTTAGTTATGAATAATATAACATTGTCCATAAAAGAATTGCTATTACTATAAACAGTTAAAAATATTTTTAGTCGTGATATAATGATGCATTTTAACACCATACGTGGAACAATACTATTGGGCGTAAGTAGACCAAAAATGGGAAAATTTCTTATCAAAAATAGTAAACTGTACTTTGTCATTTACTAAATTAATATCCAAATCTAAATAACATGATCGTTATTACTTTTCTCCGTCACAAGTTATTTTGGATATATTAAGTTTGGTGTAAAGTTTTGATTATTTATAGCATTTAAATCGTTGTTGTAACGAAAAGTACATATATATATAACTTAGGAGTTAAAACTGTTTCATAAATGAGTGTTCATAAAAAAACAAATACAAATTGGCCATATTTGAAGAGAAGTTAGCTCCCATTGGAATACCCACTGTTTCTTTATATATACTTGTTCGTTAAAAGTAATATAACTATTATAAACACAGAAATGAAGAATATTTTTACATTGGACTTTAGTAAAGTTAAATTTTGTAATACCCATTTCCGTGTCTATAAATTTATCGAACAGGCCATTAAATACTTTGATTAAATCCTTCAGATCGATTTTAGTATATAATGTCGTAAAATCATGAGTGGAAACAGAAATGACCGCATCTGAAGCATTTAATTTATTTATACATTCCAAAACTGGAATGTTGTTCTTAATAACAGTAATCTGGATTATTTAAACATAGTGTTCAATTTTTTTCAAACACAACATCCAGAATATTATCAAGAACAATAGATACAGCTTTAGTAACTGTATTTAAAGAAATAGTTATAAATCTGAACTCGATAGGTATTTTTATGGAATTTTGGAATTGCATCTAAAAATTGCAAGTGAAAAGAAGAATGTATATTCCACTTATTTATGGCTTCCTTTATATTAGTAATAATACTACTCAGTACTTTTGCCAAATGTAATTGTATTTTTAATTTTTTAATTAAATTTATGCATACTTTTTTTTACATATAAAGCCAAAGTTACACCCTCCTTTACCGATAGAGGTAAAAATAAATTGTTCTTGTAATTATTTCATTATATTTTTGAAAATATTAAAATAAATATATATTTTGTATTGAGATAGGTTTAAGTTTCTTAGACGATTTTTTATGGAATTGATGTGGTATACAAAAAAGAAACATGGATGATAGTATGTTTTTTTTTACTTATTTTGATAATAAAATTATCAATATTTTTTCCATATCTTTTAGTATTTCATATTTTTTAGTTTTTTTGAAATTCTAAGTTTTGTTCTTTTTTTCAATATTGATTGTAATTCTTTGTCTTTGATAATCTCTAAATTACCTGTAACTATATGATTATGAAAGGGTCGTTGAATTCATTGTTGTTACAATAACAAGACAATTTGTCAATTTTCTATTTGATTAAATTCTTCAATAAACATTTTTATAGTTGAAGATCAGAAGTCCAAGGTTTATTATATTTAAAACTAACTAGAAATTGAACTGATTTAATGAAGAAACAGTTCTCTTGAACAGTTTTATGGATTAAGAAAGGTAGAGCTAAGTCATCATATATATATTCTCCAGAACACATTACACCTCCTTCCGTATTATATAGCCTAAAAACGAAATATTGTAGAATAAACGTTATTAGCGTTTTAGTTACAATATTTTTTTACCATTTGCAGGAGGCGGACATGGCTATCGCCCCTCTGACGATTACCTCTGCAAGGGAACGTGTTATTGATTTCACCAAGCCTTATATGTCTCTGGGTATCAGTATAATGATTAAGAAGCCGATGAAGAAGAAACCTGGAGTGTTTTCCTTTATGAATCCCTTGTCCAAAGAGATATGGATGTGCATCATTTTTGCTTATGTTGGAGTGTCGGTTGTGCTGTTTCTTGTTAGCCGGTTTTCTCCTCACGAATGGCGACTCGAAGACACCTTCCTGGGCCAGTCGGTGTCCAACGACTTCTCCTTAATGAACAGTCTCTGGTTTTCTCTGGGGGCTTTCATGCAACAGGGTTGTGACGTCTGCCCCAGGTACGAGGTTACCTTGCTTGCATAGAGAAAACATAGATAGGCTCTAGATAATGTAGTGAGTTCGCGTGTGATTATTTACTTATTGTAACTTTAATTCACGCTAAAAATACTTATAATTTTGAGATTCTTGCATAGAAACTCAGCTATCTAACAAGAAGAAGTCCTATCACCATCTGACGACTTTTATTAGCACTACGAGATACAAATAATTATAAATATCAGGTTATCGTAAAAAACTCAGCTATCTGATAGGAAAAATGGCCTAACACCTTTTAAGTACACTTACTAGCACCAGGAGATGGGAATAATTATAACTGTCAGCTTCGTGTAAAGAAACTCAGCTGTCTAATAAG